TGGGTTGCTCAAAACTCATATAAATTGAACGAATTCAATCGTCAGAAAAGTCACAGACTAATTAGGTCTTGAAAATGACTTTTAAAGTTCATTCCAATAGAACATCTATTTGAAGGTAAATACAATCAAAATCCAAGATCTATGTACTTGATTGAAAAGCCTTTATTTTCTTCGTAAGGTCATTTTCGACCATGACTGAATCAATTGAATGGCTCAAGTCAGAAAAACCACTTGTATGTAAAGCAACGAAACAACATTCATATGAGTAGGTTCTCACAAACAAAAAGAAACAGTTTTTCAGAAGAAACTATATTTTTGTAATCTTGATTGCTTTTTCTTGGAAGTTTTAACTTTCTCATTTCAAAGTAATAAAACAGTGCACTTTGCAAACCAGGATCTCGCTGAATGGCGTGAGTCCATTTTTCAGTTGTCCACATGCTTCTCTGCAATATCGATTGTTTGATATATATATTTATTAAATGTCATAATAATCGATTAAAAGCTGCACGATTACAATTATTACGAAACAAGAAATTTTCAAGCACATATAATATTCGCATAATGAGTAAAGTCATTTATTTTAAGTTTATGTTGATATAAAATGAGACAAAAAGCACTACATAGCTACAATTTCATTTTTGAAGCATATATTAATTCGCAGTTACCCTAGTAAGAACGCATAAATGACATGTTTTATTGTTTCTTTGTTCATAAACATCCAACTGATACATTTCGACCACAGCCTTGTGCAATAAACGATTTGAATTCATCGAAGTTCAGCTTATAATCGCCATCTCTATCAGCCTTTTGTATTTGATGAAGAAGTAAATATGGATTTGCTTTTGGTAAAATGACACATATAAATTCATGTAATTTAGTAATATCGATTTTGTTAGAATAGTCAGTATCAAGAAGGCGAAATGCTTCTGGAACATCTTCAATTGCATATTTTCCCATCATAAATGTGCGTAATACCTTGATGAACTTATCATAACACATATATGGTTTGTATAATCTCCATGCATTCCGTTCATATTCTTGTCGAGACCACTTGATATGATATTTTTTACTTTCTCCATGATCATATTCGTCATATTCATATTGAACTTCATCGATTTGACCATATTTTTGAGATATAGTTTCTGTTGTGGTTACTTTGTATTGATCACACATCTTAAATGTAGTGTATATATTGATTTTCAAATAAATATTATCATTTATCTCTATCATGTAAAATATCTAGTTGAAATCTATTTTTAATCTCTAGAATTTTGGAAAGTACCAAAAATATTTATCTAATGCAAACCTTCTATACAAAATTTGATTGTGAGTGATTTGTAAAAGCACAATTTTGGAAAGCATTTCTGCAGAAACTGAAGTAAATCTATTGTTCTATTCGAAAGTAAACGAAACATTTCCATTCAAATGAATGAAGAAAAGAGTTTTATAATAATTTATTTTTGTATTTTTGAATAAGAACGCTGATATGGTCTGTTGCTCTCAGCTAAGTTTTATATTTTCATCATGAAAAGTGATTCATTGTCAATTCAATATATTAGCTTATTCCAACAAAAAAAAAACACGCTACAAAATATTATATTACATAGATTTAAGTATGAAAACATGAAGCATAAAATAAAGTAAAAACTATAAGCGTCCATTGATTTCTTTTAGTGTTTTCATCATAGTCCTTGTTTAATTTTGAATGGGAGAAAGATCGAGGAGAACCTCAAAATTAAAGAAAAAGATACTTAAATTTTTCTGTTAAAACATTTTGACTAATTTAGATCTAGGGAAAGAGAGAAGATTGTTTGCAATGAACTTGATGATTTTTGTTGATATATCATTAATGTGTGCACATTGTTGTCTAACTCTTCGAGCAGATTCAGTTCCTGTTTTTTTGATAAAGCTTAACTTAGGTTTGAGATCACGTTCTCATTTGTAGTGTCACGCATTATTTTGAGCGTTATCGCAAACATAGAAAAAAACAAGAGAAATCTTACTGATTCCTTAACCACAAATTGTAATTCAACATTCATACCTATATTTTTCACATTTACAAGACAATTACAATTTTATTTTAGGATGTGTGTGGATGGGTCATCTCTCCATTTACACACTTGTATGTAATTGATTTGAACTCTGAATATACGTCTTTTATACTCAAGAAATCAAACCATTGTAAACCACTTAATGATGATCAATATGACATTTACTTACTGTCGAGAATGCGATTCTTGAACACATTCAAATGATTGCTGCACTTGTAAATAAAATCAGAATAAAACTAAAAGAAAAAAGTTTAGGAATTTTTTTCTTTAAATAGCTTTGATAGTAACGGTTTTTGAATATTCTTATTCTCATAAACCGATGAATAGTGAGAAAAAAAGAGACTGATATAGCTAGCGATTGCCATAGCTAAACTCTATCTCTGTTTCATAAACAAAACAAGTCATTGGTTCTTCTTGTTATTTTTTTGAATATTCTAATAATATATTTTTATTTGCACTTTTTCTTCTGACATTTATCAATCTATGTGTTTACGTGTTTTTCAAGGAAAAAGAATGAGACGACATAAGTCAATAGAAATCAAGGTTTTCTTTCCGAAGGACGAGAAAAAAAAACTAGAAAGTTATAATTAGTCTGTAAGTCAGTTCAGATATTGTCTTTCTCGTATTTTGTCTATAGAAAAATATCTTTTTGCTTATTAAGATAGAGAAAAGAATGAAGGTGGTATTATTTACCGTCAACAACAACTGCTTATGAAAATATTTGAGCTATTTTTACTCTTTATCGAGTCAATCTTTTTTTTTTATAACAAATATTTTTTTAGCTACTCTACTGCATTCAATAATTTACTAAAAATCATGAATTCAATTTATAAATATGTGATGTTAAAACCACATGATGAACTAAGCTAAAAATAAAAAAAAAATATAGATTGCATTTGGTGACATAGTGTCAAAGTGAGATCGCTGACGAAACATAATCAAAATGTTCCAGAGATGGCAAAAAAAGCAATCAATCACACGATATTTATCTAAATATTAACTCATTTCAAAAATGTTCTAGATTTACATCTTGGTTGTATGTGCAAAGAAATCTTATAGTAAATTAAAACTTATGATTACAAATTCTATAGTAGATCTACGACAACAATCAAGCAGTATTACTTTTTTCCTCTGATTGCAGTTTAAAAAAATGGATTCATTGGTAGCAAAGTATTCGAATGAATGATCGATCAAGAAACGAAGGCAGTCAGCAGATTGCTTCTTTTGGAATCAACATGAAAAACTGATTTGAATGATGTGAGTTTTGAGCTTTTGAGACGATTTTGTATTTAAATCAGTTTTTCACATTAATTCCAAACGAATTAACATATGAAGAAACAGAATATAAACTTATGTAACTCATTTCTACGACGTATGACATGAGACAAAAACATTGGCTTCAACTGTTAGCGACAAATCTCCATAGATGTTTGCCCATTAAATCTAGAAAGAATAAAGTTTGTGCACTCGATCCGATAATATCAATTTTTGATGAAAAGTCAGCCAAAAAAAAAAGCTCGACAACTTGAAAAGAATATTACAAGAGGAAAATATAATAATTTTAAAATCATAGGCATTTTTCGAAAACTCAAATCTATTTAATTGTTTTTTTTCTACGTAAGGACAAAGTTTATGATACAGATTGAGGGAATTCTTCACTCAACTTTTGAATTTACAGCATCTTATGAATATCAAAGAGTTAAGAGCGAACCAAGTTCCAACATTGTCAATTGTGAATCCGAGTGTGGATAAGTTTGGGTAATCTGTCAATCCACATCCTTGTTTTTTGTTTCTTTACTGATTTTCTGCTTGTAGGCGGATAAAAATGTTGGTCACATTATTTTCAATAAAATCTTCTATATGTACATTAACGGTTCGTCGACGAATAATGCACTTTAACATGCATAGTTGCTGAGTAATATTGATGCTAAGCATTATCTTTCATTCATATTGTCTCCTTTATTCATCTCTCCTTATACTTCTTCGTAATTTTGTTCGTTCACAAATCACTAGATGTGTTGTAAGAATATGTATCAATTCTTTTTTTTTGTGTTCTTCTATATCTTTTATCTGTCATTGATCAACTGGGTATCACAAAAAAGTTAAGTCGAAAAACATTTGATTTAAAAACTGCGTTTTAGTGGCTCTCATCGATCTTGTGAACAATATCCAAAATTATATAATAGATGATGATAATAGAAATCAACAATATATATATATACATGTTTCTCAGAAATATCGAGCTTTACCGTAAAATATTGAGATTCTTCAATAGAAAACAACAAGAATTTATAAAAAATTTATCTAGTGAAAATGTGATGCATGTCAGTGTGTATTTGTTTCTGGATACATTCGAACATACCAAAGGACTCAAAAAATAGCACTTCATCATCAGTTGTTACATCTGTTTCATCATCTGAAATATCATTGTTTTCCGTAATTTTGATATTAAAGTCATGAAATCTTTTTTATTTGTTAAATCTCTGAGTACAGTCCTAGAAAAATTCTATGGGATGTAAGAAAGTTAATAAAAGAATACTTGAATATTTCCACAGAATCAACTTCCAAGTATCTCATTGCGGTGCTATGGTTACTCTGATAACGATGATATGTGTGTTGACTGCTCACATTCACATTTTAAAAGTTGAGCAATGATTTGGTGTTCTTTTCTTTTCCTTAAAAAGGCTTTTTTCTATGCATTTATCCACATTACTTATTTTGTCACATTCCTATCGTTTTATTGCATATTTCTTAGTAATTTTTTTGTCAAAAGTTCTAAAGACATTAACAAAGATACATTACAATCAGTACAATCAACATAAAACACATCTTTGTTGATACTTAAAACTTTTGTTAGAGTGTAACAAAGCACTTCAGTATGTTAACTATACTTCCAATTTTGATGCATTAATTGCATTATATCTTTCTTTTCATAAAGATATTACTGAGAAATGTCTAATAGAACTATGTAAATATGACAAGATAAGTAATATGCATCAATAAATAGAAAAAAGCTTTGAAAGAAAGATAATATCTTTTATAACACAAAACAAAAACGTATCAGATAGGCTGTGTTATCAAACGCCTTGCTTATGGCGTTAGTAGAAAAGAATTCTTTCAAACTCCGAAATATTAATCGAAGAAATAATGATTATTTTCTGATATTCAGATGATGCATATTTAATATTTTCTAACATTTGTTGGTTTAAATCAACATTTAAATTCTATTTTTCTTGATAAACATTTACATTTGTTAACTGATGTTCTGTTATCAATATTCATGATGAAATCTTTGATTTCCATCAATAATAATTCCTCATAAATTACGAGTTTACGAAGGTAATATCTACTTCAAAGGATATTAAATACTTTTATTTACACAGCTTTTACTTTATAAATATTCAACTGTCACTTTCTTTACATATCGTGATTTTGATAGATGATACTTATCATTTAATACGGTACGAGGCATAGCATTCATATAGTTCTTTGTGAGTTTTCTTTCTCAAGAAACTTATCAAAAGTTCTCATTTTCTATTATGATGAAATGTGAGAGCACAAAATTCAGAAAACAATCGTTCAAACATCACATGAAAGTGTTGAGATCGTAGCAATATCATTTTTTCATCCAATCTTCCAGAGGATATTTGGTTGGCTTACAGATAGCACCTTGAAAAGATAAAACTTTGCGAACTTTTGTTTTTCTCTTCTCATTTCATTCTTCAACGAAGAATAGAATGTAATATGACCGAAATGAGAAAAAAAAGTGTGCTATCTATCGATATATCATTAAATATGATCGTCAACAGATGTTGTTCTCTATTCAACATTTGTCTATTTTGAAATTCACATATATTTTCGAAGAAAATAGTCAGTGTAAGTTTTAAGTTTAAGTTTTCGCGGCTTTCCCCTTCGCTTCCCTCCTCACTACAGACACCTAGTAACCGAAGCTCCCATTACAGACACCCTCCTCTTATTAAAGAACATAGCAGCTCCACATAAAGGGTGTGTCTGTGGGTGCGAGTCTTGCCTTCATACACATCCATCAACACCTCACATTCATACTCACCCCATTCAGTTATGCATGGTTTTGGTGACAGTTACAAGTTCTAATGAACTATTTTAACATAAGCGTTTATGTTAAAATAAACGAAAAATGACAATGGGAAACATAAATAGGTACAGACTTTGATCGAATCAGTTGCCTGGAGATGACCTATGGTTAATGCTGCACGCAATTTTCTTTTTGTTGTTACTTGTAAAATTTCAATTTAACAGTAAATGATATTTATAGTGATTGTTTACCTCATATTTTCTAGAACATGTATCTATTTTATTTCGAAGCGCGACATTCATCGTGGCAGATTTATTCAATAGAAATCTTAAGCATCCCCCCTTCAGACAAAGTCAGTTTTTGTCAAGTTCATCAATTTTGTGATTTATAATTCGTTAGATAGTGCAAAGTGTCTACTCTCGAATGCACTATAGTTGATTGATTTTATAACGAGCTTTAAGAATATTACATATTTTTTTCTGAACCTCCATATTGGAAAAAATAGGTTTTTAAAAACTTATTTTCCGTTTTTCTTAAAATCCGTTTTTTTCGAGTATACTATTTGCGCGGACAAACCTTACTCAATAACGACTCAATATAGGAGTGATAATTTTTTTTTTATTGCATAGAGGACAGTTAGGGCTAGATCCTAATAGAGCCCGATTTTTGAATTTCTCTATTAGCAAAATAAAAAACCTACATACCCCATTTTTATCAGTGATTTTTTGAACATGAATTCGAGAATTTTTCGAAGAAGATTTTTTATAGAACAAACAAAGAGAGTTTCAAAAATCGGGCTTTATTAGGATCTAGCGCCAAGGATACTCTACAACTTAAAAACAGCCCCACCCTATTAGCTCGTGTTCTGACTGTGAAAACCTTGCCCGCGTACAAGGTATTTTTGAGCAATAAATTGACTATAACTCATGAATATCTCGCAGATTTCAGGAAATATTTTAACCATGAGCTACTCTAGCCAAAACTAAAATTCTTTGAAATTTTGGTTGAATTCCATGGAAAAATAAAAAAGTTCGTTTCTGAGGGGGCTCCCTCAACAAGAATATGAAAAGAGGCAGAACGATCTATGTAGAGAAACATTCATTTATAACAAGGCTTGGTTGATCAACTTGTTCGATCCATGATTTGATTTCGTCGAACAAATCTATCAATATCTGATTCTTACGAAACAAAGACTTTTGAATATCTGCATCCGGCTTCGGTGATTTTGTGAAGGCGATGGCTAAGTGATAAGCCAATGTACTGATACATTCGTGTGGTTCTGGCATGACAATAGGAAGGTCAAAAAACTGATTTGCCATGTAGAAGACATTGTAGAATTGTTCATCTTCAAATAAGTTATTCTTGATATTCTCATCATCGACATTGGCCGTTGCGTAATTATTTATCTTTTGATTCAAGGATAAACATATGTCTGACGAGAAGCTTTTCTTCAATTTCTTTGTGAAGTACTGGAGAAATGGTTCTGAAATTGAAGTTTGTTTTGTGTTTCATCCAGAGTTTTTTAACATACAAGCATTAAATCGATGATCTTAGGAAAATGAAATTTTTGCAGACAATATTTTCAAAGAAATTGAATTAAGTGCTTGTTTATAGCAACAAGTTGAATTAATAGTACACATGCTTTGGTGCTGCCAACTTGTTGAATGAAACGAAGAAGAAGCCATTCAATTGCTATCAACTGGCGTTTTTGTTCATCTGATTCTGTACTATCGAGCCATGATTGAAAGTTGTTTTGACCATTTGGTTGTATTGTCGAAAGAAACTTCTGGAATAATCAATTTTTTAAATATTAATTCTAATTAACAAGCAAAAATGTTCTCACTTGTAAGTCTGGCAAAGCGACAAAGTCGTATTTAACCAATGATGCCCGCAAAGCAACACTACTTGAATCCATTGCTGCAAAAACATCGTTCATCCGGTAGAGTGGTTCTTTGAGTCTTTGCAAATTGAGAAATTTCAATGGAACATAACTACGTGGAAGATCGTAGAGATGATAATATGTATCCGCGGCGACAACATAGGCATCGTGATCTTGAGCTAATCCAACGATCATCGGATCAGCATCTCCTCGAGCCACAATAATATCTATATCCAATTCACGCAAGTTATCAATAAATCTTCGTCGAAAAAGTGGTGGAAGTTGATTTTGACTAGCATTGAACTCAATGAAACGTATACTACTCGTACGTTCAGAATCGGGTCTTCGATTGGCGTTTCGTTTGAAAACTCCATAAAAAACAACGATAACATGCGAACATTCATTCTTGAACCTAGTTAATATTCGACGTAAGAAATTCCAATAACTATCGTAACCAAATGGGGTACTAGTCAAACCTTAATTTCCGTCTTTGACTTTGTAATTTCTCAATATTTGATCATAGACAAAATACATGAATGAATTGGCATCAATGATAGTCGACTGATCTTTCAGATCTATGTGCGTCGGATGATTCTTTGGCAGAATCAGCTAATGATAGGTAATTGTATATGCATAAGGAGGACCCATGATTACGTGTACGTGAAGTATCGAGAACAAAGTCATCTAGAAACATTTTATAATTACTTTTTTCCCTGTGATTGTTGGATAAATTCGATACAACGCTTGTATAGATAAGAAAAAAATCATACTTGTCTATCCATCAATCAAAATCTAATATTTTTATTCATTCTTTTTCTTTGATGACTGACGAAGTGTTTGTTTTTGTTTTGTTGACTGCAAGAAAATTCTAGTGCTTTCTTTTCCATTTCTCTAAACCTACTCAACGAATAAAAAAATTTCAAGTAATGATGCAATTTACCTTTTTTCAATGAAATTTTCTCCAGAGACAAATGATGTCGTGAAATGACAAAAAAATGACAGTTTCTCATGATGAAACCAGCCTTTTCTTTGATGTTTTTTTTTCTAATTCATTGATGAAAATTAGAGTTTTTATTCACGAAGGTGATTAGATATACTTGAAAGTCATGTAATGAAAAGGATAAAATAAAACAACATATCTTTTACTTAATGTAACTACCTACTTAATTGGTAGACTTTACTGACCTGAGGTGGATAGTTTTACCCAGACTTGTTATAAATCTAGATTGTTTACCCTTCAAAGAGCTTTGTATTGAACTTTTCAAAAGTTCATTTTACTTTACCGTCACATTTAGTGGCATATTACATAGAAATGTAACAAAATACTTCATAACTTTGAAAAAGCAGAGCACAACATGGTCTCTGTCCTGAGACAATTCATCTAACAAGAAAATGATATATGTCCGGATGAATGTGTAGGTAGATTTTAAATTAATTATTTTCATCACTTATTTTCAAGAAAAGTTGTCATCTGATATATTTGTTAGCAAATGTATTGATTAAAACCATTTTTCTTTGAGCAAGGTTTACAATTTTTTTAATTATTTGGAAAAAGATTGAAATTGATTGTTTGAATTGTAAAAGTGACGAAATCAATCTATTGATTTTTCATGTAGGGAAATAATAGAAATCATGAAACAAAAAAGTTGCAAAAAGTGTATAACTAATGTGACGATTTTAGTTGTTCGAAATAATCAAAATTATGTAATGAAAATCATATCTGAGTAATGAAAAAAATGGCGCGCAATCAGTTAAATTTCAACTGTTTCAGAATGAAATAAATTCCTCAGAGAATGATCCGAATACTATGTTCTATTAGTTGTGTATAGTTAGATCTTCAAATAGGTATCCAATGAAATTTATGTTTGTTATTCACTTTCTATTTTTGAACGGTACTCATTCATACCTATTATCAAGCAACAGAGATAGGTATTGATGTTTCTTATGAATTGAGTTTCTTTGTAGAAATATGAAAATTTTTCTTGCTTATAATTAATCAGCTGATACTGTTTATCTAATTTTCTTTCTGTTTCTATATGGGTGCAGCTCTTTCCCATAGTGTATATTTGCAACAAGTTTAAAAAGAATAACGAAAAAACAAGAGGCAACAAATGGAGCGAGAAAGATGGCCATAATACAAAAATAATAAACAGATCATTCGACAAAAAAGCAAACATTTCGGGGTAGTGACTTCGCATTAGCAGTACATTAACTTGATGCTAACATCAATACGTTTTTGTTACAATCCTAGGACACAAGTATTGCGATCTATATTTATTAATGTGATAATAAACCGAAGCAAATATCCTTAATTGAGCTCATTAATTTTTGTTACAGTTCAGATCCAAAAGCATCACAGCTACTATCAAACTAATTCAATTCGAGCTTAAGCCACGTAAATTATGGACGACGATGACTATTATGATGCATTGCAAATTTCTAAGCAAACAGCTCATATGCTGGTACTTAGAATAATAGTAATGTATGGAAATAATGCAACAATCGATCAAGCCTGTTATCGATTTCTTTTATATATCATTCGATACAACTCCTCGAGTTGATTAAAAATATATGGTTTTTTTGAAGTATTTGTAATGCTGTTTTCATGTAAAGAAGTCAAAAAAAGTTCAAAAGAGCTGAATACTGAGTAAAAAACGGAATTGATTAAATTATTTGGCGCGGTAGGTGTGTGTGGCTGTTGATTTGAGCAAAGAGAAAGTCTACCCACTCCCACCTTCACACTCTTTTGGCGAAAATGGAATGTAGCTTCACACCTGATCGGGCTTCCTCATCATTCGCGGAATAATGTACGTCATTTGCGATCCAAAGTCCTGTTATCTTTTCAACTTACTATCTCTTCCTCTATGAGAAAAAAAATAAATTTGTCTCTTTCTCCATCTATGAAGAAAATAGTTAATCTATCTTTCTTCTTCGACGGTCCAAGTATATATATAAGCCGAACCACGAATTAAACACCGTAACATTTAAGTAGTTGCTCATATTCATCTACTACTCTCTTTTCAAACGTCGAACAATAACAAACGATAATGCAGAAGATCAGTCAAACGATTTGTTTAATTATTCTCTTGGTTTTGGTTGCAACAAGTAAAATGGCGCAGGCGACGGCAATTGAAGATGTAGATGGCAATGGCATTGCCCAGCATGCCATTAAGAAACGTCAAGCTTGTGCTTATAAGGGTAGTTGTTGTAATCCTGCTAATTGTCCTTATAGTCTTTGTTGTGGTGGTGCTCCTGCAAATTGTAGTCCGGCCTTTGGTTGTTCTGGTGCTCTTTGCAGTGGTACTTGTGTTGTTACTGGTCCTCTTCTTCTTCTATGTTAATGAATCACGTATGTTTTGTCGTTCGAAACGTCTGATTGCAACATATCGAGAATGTCAATGATAGATGGGAATTCTCAGAAGAAGTGGATAAAATTTTGAATGATATTATGAATTCCTTTTCTTCCATTTCTCGTATAAGAGCATCTATTTAGTTCATCATCTGTATACCCCTGTTGAAAAGAGGCTGCAGTCGGTATTTTCAGTTTATCATCACTATAAAAACATATTTTTAAAAGAATACTACCATGTTCTGAAAGCACACGAAGCTTTGAATTACCTTGTGTATTCATGTTTTATTTTTGCACTTATATACTAGAAAATAAATCAAATGCAATGAAGGCACCCTCGATTGACAAGTACGCAAAAACCCCATTTTTTGACTACTTTTTTTTGATTTTCTCCGTTCAGTTATAGGTACAATGGAAATAAAATTTTATAAAAGTAATTGTGTATTCTAATCGAGCTTCGAATTCTTTATTAATCTGTATATTTTCTATTTCAATAATTTAGAACGTCTGAACCAGCAAACGAAAGAGAATGCAAGAGATAGTTGAGAAATCCAAGTTTTTTACAGTTTGTCAAGAAGGTCTCTAGATATTATTTGAATTATTTGTCAGCACACACATAGAAGATAAAATAAAAATATAGAGAATTTGAAGTTCTATCAGAATACACAATTATTTTTGTAAAAATTTATTTTCTTTGCATCTATGCAGTTGATTTATTTTCTAGCATATAAGTGGAAAAATAAAACATAAATATACATAGTGATAAAAAACTTCGTGCACTTTCATAATATGGTATCAGTCTTTAAAAAATATGTTTTTATAGTGACGATACACTCAAAATTCTGACTACAGCTATTTTCTAACAGGGTTACATATTCCTATTTGAGTTTATCATTTCTAGTATTTTTTTGGTCTTGCATTAATTCAGTAACTTTTTGTTCCTAGAACATATGGCAGAAACACCAATCCACATTGAAAACCGGTCATTGCTATCAACTATCATCAACATCAACGAACATTATTGACTAGTTAGCTTCCTTCTCTTATATTCGCAAATAGTTACTCTGTTTCTCTTGTATTCTGAAGTTGTTTTGGTTGCTTCTCTCATATTCTCAACGGTTTTTCTTCCTTATTTTTTTTTCTGTATTTCTCACAATATTCAATTCCAATAAAATGTACGCTTTGTAAACGTACGCTACTTGGCTCGTTCATAAAAACATCAAGTATCTATAAAAAAATGAATCCATTAGCTTTGATATGGATCAGGATGGTAAACCTTTTAATAAAAATTGGCATGGTGGTACTTTCATATTCTTCTGACTCCTAAGTAGCCCATATGTGTTTGCAAATAGTGATCAGTGTATTGATAGCTAAACGTGTATTATTGTAGGCGCTTTTATCATGAAGATTTGCGTTAGATGCATATGTAATTGTGTGCAATAAAAATTATTTATTCTCCAATGGCTTAAAGGATGACAGTAATCTTGTAATTAATGGATCATTTATGTTGTCAAGATCTACTGATTAAGCCCATTTTTTAGAATGATCGAAAGCTTTGTTTTACCTTAATGACAAGATTCAATTGAATTTGCATACTCCATTTAATGAAAATTAAAGTAATAGTACAAAAGTACTCCTCAGAATAAGTTCATGATCATTGTTTGTATTGTACTTTTCATATGCAATAATTTCATGCTGATATCACATTCATTATTTAACGTATGAATAATTTTCATTTGAAAAAGTTGGTTTTATTTGTTTCGATGATAATTTTCTTGTGTCTTTTGAAAGAAATTTTGCTTAATTTTTCTTCTTGATATATTGTTGATGATATTTATTGAGCTTTACATGAGAAGAATAGAATACGTTAGTTTACGTGCATTGTTTTTCTGTGATATACTTCCCTGTTAGTTATTGAGATATTTATGAGAAAACAAAATCGAATAAAATTTATTTTAGTTTTCTTATTCGTCCTTTAGTTATTATGATATTAATCGATCGTGTTTTGGGAATTATTAAATAAATTATTCTATTTTAACTCCTCTTCTTATTTTGATTCAGTTCTGCTGAAAGCTCTAGAGTATATTAACAACGAAATTAAAGAAAATTATTCATTTTTCTTCTCTTCATTAGCGATTATGATAATTTTCCAACATATTCAGAGGCTAGCTGAACGGAATTGTGTAATTTAGTTATACTATGTGCTAAAGATGTAGATGTGTGTAGTTACTTATAGAGGATACCCGAGATCCGAAGTCTGCGTTCTTATTTAATGTTTTTTGGATTAAATAAGTGGTTGTAACATTAGAATAAAACATCGTCCACTATACATACTACTCTAAATGGAAAGAAAAAAGACTTTCGAGGATATAAACGGCTAACTATTGATTGAAATTACAAATTTTATTCTGTAGTGGAGAATTCAGAAATATTGAATAAAGTAGACACACCAGAGTTGGAACCGGTCGGGAATATTCGAACCGATCTGGTCCAACCGGTTCAAATTTCAGACCGGTCGGTGACCAACCGGTTCCAAAAGTTTTTCAGACCGATAAAAATCGGCCGGCTTACCAAAACATTTTTAATCGGTTAAAGAAAATGACTTTAAAACCATTCAGTTTCCTTTTTTTGCTTCTATTTTAGGAAGTTTTAAGCGAAAATATCATGTCATAGTCGTTTATGTTTTTAAGGTTTCTCAGAAATGAATATATGATGTTTCTCTGGCGCAAAAAAAGAATCAACTTACCTGACAACTGATTTCTAAACTACGAATCTTGAATTTTTTAACCTAAATTTTACTAAAACACCTTATGTTTCTCTTAGAACGACAGTTCAAACTCAAATGCTAGTCACTAACAAACATCAACCAGATAAATTGAGAAGTTCATCTCAAGTAACACAGTTTTTTGATTGTGCTTTTCACAAAGCGAAATACAGTTCGATTAAAAAATAAAAAAGGTACAGACGAACAGAAGAAGATAAAATTGTTAAATTCTGAATAATACTGTTTGATTATTTTGATAAATGCATTTAAACTTGCTTTCGACATATTTTATCAAAGAAAAAAGGCATATCTAAAAAAAATTCTAAACCGGCACAGGCCGGCCGATCTGACCATCTCAACCGGTCTGGTCCGGCCGAACTGGTGCCGGTTTGTCGGATCGGTTCCAACTCTGAGACACACTACATTCATCTACAGATTCCGCGAATCAATGTAAACAATTGAGCCGAAACGTATATCTTCTGAAAGTAGCAAATGCGATAGTATATATATTTTTAGGGAACGGTTTATTATTATTAGCAAGAATAGATTTCATATCGTTAATAACAAATTCAATAAATCAATCGAACGATATAGGTTCAGTTAATTGAAGGTATGCACATAGTGCATTTTGAGGATAATGAAAAGTAACAAAAAACGCTGGTACATCTAGTGGAAATTTGAGAAGAAATAAATCTACATGTAATAAACACGTTACTTTGCGTTTCTATTTTTGATGTACAGGATATAATTAAGCTTTTCATCTTTAGAAAATAAAGTATAAGCTAACAAAAAAAAAGAATTTTTTTAAAACGGTGTAGCATTAGTAAAATGTCATGAAAAATGCAATAACTAATAAACACTTAAATATTATTAGAAAAAAACACATATTTTAAACTGATCACTATGTTTTCATTTAGTTACTTATAAAATAGAAAAAATGAACTTTCTGTAGTACGAAGTAATATCTCCATAATATTAAATCCTAGTCGATCTGTATAAAAAATAAGTTATTCTTCATTTTTTGTTTAATCTATTTTCATAATAAGTCTGAAAAAAAAACGTTATACTAATTGCGAAGACTATTTCACATAAAACGATTCAACAATTAAAAGTAAAGATTTATTTATTTTTTTTCTGAAAGTCACGATTCAACGAAATTCGAAAGATAACTCAGAAACAACGAATAGATGATAAACTAGACAACGTACTAAAATAGTTTCTTTCTGTTTTTTGATATTCTTCCAAAAACAAATAGATGTACTACATTGAGCATTCTAGTCTTTACCTACGAGTAAATCTGTAACAAAAAAACTCGTCTAAGTACTCGCGCGAGTAGCTTGAGTATTCATGCTGGCAAGTCGTACTCGTTTGATGAGTATTTTCACCAGGGAGAAGGAATCAATCAAGAATCATTTTGTCGAGCGTCTTTTACTGCATCATTTCTTTACTAAAAACAAAGCTTTCAACCCACGCGTTTTACTAAAGAAAAATTTTTTTATACAAATTGAATCAGGATCTCTGAGCTATCCTTTGTATTTAAGATATAATTTACCCATGATCGAACTTGACTAGGTTCACAATAGAATTATTCAACATTGTCTTCATCGACGGCAGCGGCCATATGTATATGGAATGAATATATAATTATTCACAGCAAATGATGCTTAGAATCAAATATGAATTATTCAAATATTGGTATTCTTGATCTACCAGCTGAAATTTTACTGATTATTTTATCAAAATTAAAAAATATCGATGTATTATATTCACTTGTTGGTGTTCATGAAAGACTTGATAGAATAGTATGTGATACAATCTTTACTAGATCTATTGATTTAGCAACAATATTATCCAATAATAAAAATGATTCATTGATTAATCAAATATTGATTCGATTTTGCCTGGATATCTTACCTCGAATTCATCAAAATATAGAATGTCTTACTCTCGAACCATTGTTTATGGGATGCATACTTCGTATAAGTAATTATCCTAATCTACACAAACTCAATATTGTTAAACTTGACATAGATAAGGCATTAGCCTATTTCAGTGGTATATAATTTATTTCTTTTTCATTTTTATAATTTATTTTGTCTACATTTAGATGAATCACCTTTTGTTCAAATTTTTAAGGAAAAAATTTCTCATCTTGTTATTACCATTACTGATGATACTGATAGTGTATCATTGTTAGATTTAGTTAAAATTGTATATGCAAAAATTTTTGCTTTATTCACAAGTCTAACTCATTTGGAGTTTGGTACATATAATACTTCTCAACATCGTCCATTGTCAGTCTACCGTTTATCTTCTAATATGTGTTTCTCATCAAATATAATCCATTTATCTATTAGAGTTCTTATTTTTGATGATTGTCTTTGTTTACTCAATGGTCGTCTGTATCAAATGAAAACTTTTATCGTTACTGTTGATCATTTTTTACCTGTTATGTCAAATAACATCAACTATACGGTAACATAAAGTTCTTACATCTAATATTTCATATGAATTTTTCTTTGTAGAAAGGTTTACATAATCTAAAATGTTTTTCATTAATGTCACGTTCGGAAATCTTTACATACGATAATCAAATTGTACCATTACTTCGTCAAATGACACAACTAGAAAAACTTACATTATCTCTTAATGTTTACCAACGAACAACATTCATTGAAGGTACTCATTTGAATAAGGAAATTCTTAGTCATATGTCACATCTAAACACATTTATTTTTGATATCGTTACACATATTGTCATCAATGATGATGAAAATCAGAAGACAATTGTTAATATTCAAAGTACATTTGTTCAAGATATTGATGGTTATATCGACTATTATCCAAATACGAAACATCGATGTCATATCTATTCACTTCCATTTACCATAGAATATTTACATCATATAACCAATAATTTTCCCGGTGGTATATTTATAAGTGTACGAACTTTATCTATATTTGATGACATACTTCCATTTGAACATGAATTTTTCAAACGAATTTCTCATTCGTTTCCATTACTTAATTCTCTCACGATAATCAATTCACAACAACAAAATGAAAAACAAACACGACAGTTATATAATAATGAAAAACTATTTTCAATTATCAAATTTCCTCATCTTTTTCAGCTTAATCTCGAATATGCTCATATTGATTATGTTGAACAATTTCTTTTCGATACAAATACATATCTTCCATGTCTGGATCAACTTCAAATTCAATTCGAACATTTATATATCATCACAGAAAATTTTACAAGTAATTCAACACGAGCTGTTTGTTCTAAAATAAAACGTATCGATTTTTCTGAAACAGTTGTTCAATCAAAAGATTTTTATCTCTATTTTCCTTTATTATAAACAGATTATTGCTCAAATAAAATTATTTCCATGTATTTCTTTATTCAATTTCAATAAATTATAATTAAATCAATAAAATAAAGTTTTGACAGATGAAAATAGAAACATGAAATGATTTTTAAGTGATTGCATCTATATGATGTTTGAGTATTTATCATCATTTTTCCAAAAGCGAACAACAAGATTTTTACTAAACAAAAATAAAGAATATTCTCAACATACATATATCAAGTTGATCACGTAAAAAATTCGTATTTAAACTCTCGCATACGTATGCTCAACTATTTTTTATCACATCGTTAAACCTTTTATCAATTTTATTAATCGTTTTTTCTTCAATCATCAGAAGTGTTTTTTTTTTATTCTTTGTTTTAGCATTTTTCGATTGAATATTAACCATACATCTGGAAAGTTTTTAGTGCTATCTTGAAGTTAAATTCGAACATGAAATAATTAATCAATAGTTCACAATACAACTTTTCTAGTTAGTCTTTTTTTTTCTGCATGTAATACTCATGCATTTTAGTTCATTTTAAGCCATCTATTCAAGTTACAGTAGTTCTTTCGCTCATTTGAACGGAGTTCGTGAACTGAGCTTGTCAACCCCTACGTGTTTCTATTCATCAGCACCTACACCCACCCAGTTGCAAGGCGATATTGCCAATTCAGGACAACCTGTCGAGTAGATTGATTATCTTTTGTTTCAAAAATCTTTCAAATGATCCTGTGCATTTATCGTTTGTCTTATCTTCAAATATTGACATGACCTTAATCCTGTCATGAAATCAGCCAGCTTAACAAAAAGAGAGAAATAAATATAATGATTGTGAAATAACTTTGTTCTTTTTGTTATCTGTAGCTCGTAAAACATTTTGTTGCCCTACACATCTACATTGCAGTATAGTGAAAAGGATTAGTTTTTTTCGTCAAATAGAATCAAACAATCATGTGGTTGTTATTAATGGGGCTCATTATTACCATCAATACTGCTGCTAGCCAGAGTTCAAATTGTCCACTTCGACAGTCGATAGAGCAATCTCTCGAGAAAGTTCACATTCCAGGTGCCACAATCGTTGTAGTCAATGCTACTCATATACTTTACGAACAAGCATTTGGCTATCAGTCTTTAGCACCAACACAACCTATGAACATTGACAAATCTATTTTTCCCATTGCTTCTATCTCGAAAACATTCATTGCTGTTGCTGTCATGCAACTAGTCGAGCAAGAACTCGTCGATCTTGATACAGATATCAATCAATACTTATCGGAAGTTGATAAACGCATCTTTCATCCACGCTATCCTTCTCATTCGATCACTCTACGTAAATTACTGTCACACTCAGCTTCGATTGCTGTCAGTTCTCAAGTGCAAAATACCTATTATCGACCAGGTGATACAGCATTTGTAGAATCGTTAGCTGATATGGTTTTCAAATATGTGAACCCAAATACATCATACTGGTTGCCAAAGCCCCCAGGTAGTGTAACATAGTACTCAAATGAGGGTGCTGCTCTAGCTGCATTGGTTGTCGAACGAATAGCGAAAATATCCTATATTGAGTATGTGAAAGAAAAAATTCTCAGACCTTCGGGTGTCAATATCAACAATGTCGGTGTGCGCCTTGCTGACTTTGTCAGTACAGAAGATTTCGTCGAACATTATGCCTATGCATTCAATACATCCTATCTCGAAGGATGGAACCAAGTAATACCACAGTTGAATATCACACAGATATCGGTAAACTCGTCAATATGACTATGAAAAAGGTTTATTTCAATCATTTTTTTTGCAGGACAATCTTCCAACTTGGCTCCATTTTGAACACTTTGGCTTCAGTGCCTATCCTTCTGGTCTCTTACGCATGTCGGCACGTACTCTATCCGTGTACCTTCGCATGTTTCTCAATAATGGATCTTCTATTCTTCGTCCTCGATCCATTGCCGAAATGCGAACAGTCGTTGGTGGTGGTCTTATACCACCCTACAACCAAGACTTGAGCGGCAATTCTACAGGCCGACGACCACCAGCACAATATGGTCTTAGTTGGTATTGGGAAACAGCGAGCGATGGTCGTCGATACATCGGTCATAGTGGTTCAATGCCAGGCATGGTACATTTAATGCTGGTCAATGAAAACAATAATGTGGGCGTGATTTTTCTCTCCAATGGAGATGTCAGTGCACCGACTGATCTGACAAGAGAAATCTCTCAAACAATGGAAAATATCCACATGTCACTATTTCAATGTTTTGAAACATCCACATCGACATCCACACCAACGACGCCGACACCGACATCCACACCAATGACGCCGACACCGACATCTACGTCCCACACCACGCCCCTCAACGCGTCGGCCTTTTGTACAAAAGCAAGTCTCTTGAGCTATTTTACCACTATTCTCCTTTGCTTTCGCTTTTGCTAAAGAAGACTATATATGTTTTGCTTGAAGCTGGAATGCTTTTTTTCTTGTACTACCATGACCCACCTGTTTTGTGGCATCATTTTTTTGTTATCCTTTTAATATATATGAACACTTCTTTCTGAAGTTCTCAGTTGTGCCGACGACCACTCAACGGACTTTGTCTCAAAATTAGTTGGAACATTGTGTCCATCACTTCGAATTGCGAAGACAGTTGCCTCCTTTGTTTTGCTACATGATTCTCATTCTTTGTCTTCTAATATTGTACAAGATTTCAGCAATATGACTGTATTCTTTATTTAACACGACCACTTTAATATTTCTATTTTGCTATCATTATTTCGAGAAGTGAATCGAATTTTTATTCTAGTTTGGTTTTTGCTTCAGGTTACGATTTTCTTTTGCCTATTATGTTACTCCAAGACAACAAGGCAAAAACGAGAAAAATCGAAGCAAGCAGTTAAACACTACGAATATTAGAAGGTAGATCCTGTAGTAAACAACATTTTTGTGCACACATTTTTCTCCCTCGGATACCTGATACAGTTTAGCAGAATTGCAAAACTCATAACATGGTGCGTGAAGATGATACACGTGAATGTATGATAGCTATCATTGCTACTATCAGAATAAATTCCATGAAACGACAAAGAAAGGAAGCACGATGTCTTGCATAATCATCAAGTAACCGTGAAAATTACTGTCGCATGATTCATTTTTCTCACATGTGCTTTTGTTGAAGAATACTATCATTTCTATTTGAGTTTTTTACCAATCCAGTTACTTCATACTATTTTCAAATACCTGTGGGCACACGAAATTTTCTATGGATTTTCGAAGCAGAATGTCGCTTTATATGGCATTCTTGTCAATTATGATCAATATTCGATCAGTTTGTGGGTACTAGGGGTATCAAGAAGCTGCCATGACCAGTTTCATCCTTGCTTAAGGCACTCATTAGATGGCTTATGTATTCTGAATTTTCAAAAAAATCTAAAACAAAACATATCTTCTCTGTAGAAGATGTCGATATAAATCCGGTGAATGATGATAACAGGTTGATTTTTTGAGTGTGGGTGTGTGGGTGTGAGTGTGGGCGGGTGGAGTGTGGGTGCGAGAGTGAGAGTGGGTGGGTGT